GCTTGGGAATCAGAGACAATGTGATCCAAGTGTCTTTTAAGCCGGTTAACCAAACATTTAGAAATGATCTTATATAGAACATTGCAGAGACCTATTGGACGATAATCCGCAAGTGTTATCGGCTCTGTTATTTTTGGAATCATACATATATTGGTATGATTTATTTCTGGTCTCATATAAGATGTTTGGAATAAAGTTTTGACCTCTTGGATCACGTCTTCGCCTACAATGTGCCAAAATTCTTTGTAGAACCTTGCTGTCATTCCATCTGGTCCAGGAGCTCTATCATCACCAATTGATTCAACCGCAGCAAATATTTCCTCTGTTGTAAAATCTCGTATCAAGTCATCATTTATTGCCGGGGAGACTGTTGGAGTAAAGTCAGCAAAATCAATAGTGGAAACATGGTGTCGTGTGGACGTGTAGACTTGTGTGAAATAGTGTTCTGCATGAGTGCCGATTGCAGAGTCACCAGAAAAGATATTGTTACTATCATCTTTGATGGTAGTAATGAAATTCTGAGCAAATCGATTTTTTGCACAAGCCTGGAAATACTTTGTGTTTCTGTCACCTTCTTTTAACCATTGATTTCTGCTTTTGAGTTTCCAGTAAACCTCTTCATCCCTATAAGCTGTCGCCAAGTCCCTTTGTAAACCTGGAATCCTTCGTCTCTCAAAACGTAAAGTGCTTGCCATTGCTTTGTTTAAACGAAATTGCAGATTATTAATGCGTTTTGCTGCATTAATGTTAGATTTATGTTTAAACTGTGCCATTGATCTGCGGCAATGTTTAATCTGATCTACGATGGAACTTTGGTAAATGTATTTGCTTGATTCCCAGCTATCTTCTATTACATTCATGAAACCAGCCATATGCAAGAGCCGTTTATCAAAGCAAAAAGGTTTTTTTGAAGTCGGAGTATTAATACCAAGATGTGTTACCACAGGGCGATGATCGGAGCAATTGAAGTCTAGAAATTCTGCTTCAGCCTTTGGGAAAGTAGCAGTCCATTCCGAGTTTGTTAGTACCCTATCTAGGCAACATTTCACTGTGTATGTGTGTCGTTCTCCTACCCAAGAAAACTTATCTCCTTTGTACCGCAGATCAGTTAAATCACATATGGAAAGCATGTTGCGGAAGTCACGAAAAGTCCACTCTTCACGTAGAGGACCACCAATTTTCTCTTCGTTAGAAATAATTTCATTAAAATCACCTACTAGAAGCCAAGCACCATCTCTGTTCATGGCTAAATCTTGCAAGTGATTCCATAAAAGATAACGAAGGCTTTGGACGGGATGTCCATAGACACAAGACAAATAGAAACTATAGTCATAATACTTAATATGTACATCAATTAGACGGTCATCTTGAAACAAACGAGAGACCGTCACATTGTTTTTCCATAAAATAGCTAAACCACCACTTCTACCTTGAGGAGGTTGAGTGATAACATTAGGAAATCCTAGAGAAGTAGCTAAATCAGAAATAACATCATCCTTATTTAAGGTTTCAACAAGAAATAATATAATAGGTTTATAAAAACGACAAATACGAGACAAATGAGATTGGGTCAGCGACCCTTTGAGTCCGTGACAGTTCCAGGAGACGATCGTCATATTGCTGCTTCTGGGGGTACCGGGCCCCCCGCGCCTCTGTCTATTTCATTCGTCATTGAGCAAGAGCCTTCAGATTCCTCCTTGTCGCGCTTACGGATTTGGCACAAGACCGCCTTGTCTTCAGCAGCTTCACATTGTTGAAGAAAACCTTCAAAGGTGACCCTCTTCCTTTTGTTCAGGTTTGTGTTTTCCACATTATCAGCCATCACATTCAGAAATTTAGGAGTCTCCATTCTCCCAATGTTTCCAGTCACAAACTTAGCGTGAAGGTACCTTATTCTCTCAGCAGTGAGTTCCACATCTTCAAAAGCACTAGGAAGAGAGGAAGCAGAGGTACCCTCAGAAGGAACATTCTGGTCATTACGAATTTGCAAACCTGGTATGGAACCAAAAGGCTCAATTGTCTGAAGGGTATCACCATCAGAGTTCCCTACATCCTCATTGTCATTCATGTCCCGATCATCTCCTCCATCGTAGTCATCTCCATTACCTTCCATAGGCGGCTCTCCATTGTTGTCAAAAGAGAGGTCACACTCTTTCACATCATGTCTCAAAGAGCCACATTTTGTACAAAAGTTCTGGAGTCTTTCAAATCGATACTTGATGATGGTGTTCTCTCCTACAATGAATTGGAAGTTTCGCTGAAATCTTAGAGGCATATCAGCGTTCCAATCAATCTGGACTCTCACAAACTCCACTCTGTTAGCATTCTCATTGAAATCCACTTCAGCCACATGACCCAGGCGGTTACCAACATACTCCGCCATTGCACTTGTAAGATACAGCAGAGGAATTCCTTTGATTTGAACCCAAAAAGGAATGATCTTCATCTCCTCTTCGGATATGTTTGGGTACCAGCGGTGAACCATCACCATCCATTCATTAAAAGACCAGGGGCCCCGACGAAGGACCAAATTCAGTGATTCTTCATCACGGAACACAAATTGCACTTTACCATTGCCCAGAATGCGTCCCACACAAGCATTTGCAAATCCCCACACTTTCGGCAATTGAAGGATCATAGCGCGTAGGTTCTGCTTCCGGGGATTCACCGGAGTAACCACCAAAGAGAATTGATTCACCAACGCAGCCCTGGCAGTGAACTCCGGAGGAAGGGTGACTGGGTAATCATCAATACCCAAGTCCAAGTCTTGAATCGATTTGCGCACGTAATCACTCATTTTCTTCAATTGATTGTGTAGAAAGTTCAGGGGTTCGAAAGGAAGAAGACGAAACAAATCGCCGACATCTTTATAGTGGAGAGACCATGGCGGTTTCCAGAAACGGTTAACCGAAAAACTTGGAATAACCAAAAAACTGCCAGAGAGAGAATCTGACAGAGGGAAACCGCCATTGGAACTGATCGAATTGGTAGAAAAAACGGTCGGAAAAAGTCTCCGGTAAGAGAAAAGGAAGAAACGACGGGAGAGGTTCCAGTCGCCAAAACAATCGCCTCGAGAGAGGAAAGTCGCCATCGCCAAAACTATTCTCCCATCACGTCTATCAGCTTTAGGAACAAGCAAAAGGATCATGAAGCTTTTTAGAATTTGAAGGGAGACGTGTTCTTAGCATTTAAAAAAAAAAAGTGGTGGACAACGACTTAAATGATTACAAACTTAGGGTTTAGAAAACGTTTTAGGTTTTAATTTTGTCTAAAAACGTAGACAACGACTTCTACATCTTGTAGATCATAATCTAAACAATAAATATCCATTTAAAACGTAATCTCAAAAATATATTTTGTTTCCTTCTCTAAAGATTTACTTTCTATATTTAGAGCATTCTAAAAATTTCAGAAAATGAAATCTACAACATCGTAGAATTTTCCTTCTAAACGAAGATTACAATTTCTAACGATGGCAGAAGATGTAGAAATTAGTAGAACGGCTATTCTAAAATATTTAGAATATAGAGTAAAGCGTAGAATGCATGTTCTAAATATTTTAGATATATGATTTTCGGACTTCTAAAATTTTCAGAACAGAAATCTAGTCTAAAATATGTAGAACATGTACAAAAATGCAGAATACACACTCTGAGTTTCGCAGAACTCTAGAAAACGTGTTCTAACAAAATTAGACGAAACTTTATCTATAAAAAAATCAATTTTTTTTAACCAAATCTAAAAAATTTCACTACAAATCACCTCTACTCTTGTATATCTACCTGTTTTTCTGATTATTTTTTTAAAAAAATATTTAAAATAGGGTGTAGGGGTAATTTCGTCCAAATTTACAATCTCATCAAAAAAGTATATATGGACAAAATTTTTAGTAGATATCCTTTTTTTCTAATTTTCCCTTAATTTACATCCATCTTTGTGAAGTGTAGTTACTAGGGTCTCGATTGGTAATCCGCATAATAGTAGAATAATTTTTTTTAATGTAATTCTGCAAATATTTTACCAAGTAAGAAATTTTTTATAATATTAAACAAAACGAAAAAAAGAAACAAACATAAGTGATGGAGAGTAAAGTTATTTTTCCGACAGTCGTAGTTTATGAAAATAATTCAAGAAATTTTCAAAAAAGCATTTTTCATAATTTCATCTAATTCCGTTGAAAATTATATGAAAATTTTATTACCGACGAAATTTCATGTATAAAATTTCATATAAATTGATCCATCATAAAAGGTATATAATTTCTTATATATAATGGCAAAAAATCAATACTCGTTTAACATATAAGACTTTATCACTATTTATGAAATATTTGTCAGAGATTTGTGAAATATTTATAGAATATTTAAATATTCATATATTTATTGAATATATTAAACTAATAATGAATGGTATAAAATTTAAATTTTCATAAAATAATATTATATTTTCATTTTATTTTAATTAAAATATAGAGGATTTTATTTTCACTCTTGATTTTATCCTTGCAAAATATTTATTACTGGTAAGAAAACATGATAGATATAGATATTATAGGGTTAATTTTATTGTTTGGATAAAAACTGATTTAAAGACAAGATTTGCTAGTTAGTATTTAGATAATTAACTAGTTACACTGATTTATAAAATAAAGAACTAATGATAAATATCAAGAAAAGCATGGAAAATCACAATAAAGAGAATCATACCGACATCTGGCCTTCATTGGCCGGTGACATGTCGGACACGCTCAAGTTAGAATCTGATACTCTTTGTCTCTTTCAGCCCACGTATCCGGTATACTCATGGACACTTAACCAAAGAAAAAGCGAACCATAATCGTAAACCGGACTAGCTTTTTTTCTTTTTTTTTTAACCGGACTAACTTACTAGTTATATGATTACTGAAGATCAGAAAGAAAGTAAAAACTAATTTCATCGGTTTGGTATCTAAAATAAGAAAACCAAATGTCCCGGTTTGAACGTGAACCAAAATTTGCATAACCGTTTTTAATGTCGAAGACAGTATAAATAAATAAGGTCTCTCTAATCGTGTTGTTTCAGAAAACAAGAGCGTCCTTTGATTGGTTTTGGATTTTGTTGTGTTCCTCTCAAAATGACAAAATTATGGACTCTTCTCTCTGCTCTTCATTCCCTCGCTGGGTATATTTATTCTTCTTCTCCTTTCTTGTTTGATTTTTGATATTTATTTAGGTTCCTTCAATTTATGGTTTGATTATTTTATGATAAGATTAAATTTCACAACTGAAAATAATATTATGATTTTGTGTTTTGTTTTATGGTACGATCATATGCAGACCCGTGGTGATGTTGCTTTACCCGTTGTAAGTAATTTCAAATTGTTTCTATACATTTTTATTTGGTTTTATTTTAAAGATTCTGATTTGGTTTGTTTTATTGTTGATGATATTGATAAAGATATGCGTCGGTGATAGCAATAGAGAGCCCATCAAAAGTAGATGACGAGCAATGGCTTGCTTATTGGATTCTCTACTCTTTCCTTACTCTATCAGAACTCATCCTTCAATCTCTCCTAGAGTGGTAACAATCGTATTTCCTATGTCTGATTTCTTGTTATGTTTTTGTTATGGTAACAATATTAAAATCGAGATGGTGAATATATATGTATATAGGATACCGATATGGTACACGGCTAAGCTAGTGTTTGTGGCATGGTTGGTTCTGCCGCAATTTAGAGGGGCTGCTTTCATATACAACAGGATCGTGAGGGAACAGTTCAAGAAGTATGGCATCCTCAAACCTAAGGTTAACTTAATTCATCCTTTCATTTTTCCCTTTTTCGTTTAATTTCTTATGAACTAAGTTTATATCTTAATTTCGTGAAGAAACTTGATTAAAGTGCTGTATATAAACCAAATAAATAATAGTTCAATCTAGCGATCGAGGGAAAAACTTGGAAAAAGTTCTAGAAGCTGGTTTTGTAATGGATAGATAAAGTGTTGTATTTATGGCCATTTTATATTTTAGTGTGGTGTGTGGAATACAGGTAGAACATCAGGCTGAGTGAGTCAAAAAGAAGATGGGACAAAAGAGGGATTCACTGTTGGGGCCTCCAATTTCTAATCTTATATGCTTTTTCTCTTTTGTCTTAATTCTCTTTTGATATATGGAAAAATGGGTTTAGATGTTGACTATATGAGTTCTTATGAGCCTAGCTCCTGCTTGAATGTATATGAAAAGAACTTTTATTCGACGTTAAAATATTATATTAAGAGATTATAAATTTTAATGGTACCGGTGGAATCTTGTGTTGCCACTTCTTAGTCTTTCAAGACATCATTGCCTTAAATTCTAATATAATTCTTATACAACTAAAGTAATATAAAAATCTCCGTAGATTATCAATCACTTATTTAAAACTGAAAACACGGCATCCGTAATAGGGGAACTGTTTTGAGTGTGCTTAGAATAAAAATATTGTTAAAATAATATAAGATCATACGTTTAGATCTTTTGTTAATAAGTTGGTTATTGGGAGAACATGCTTAAGATCAGAAGATTTAATAATATAATAATAAAACATATTACAATTATAAAAACATTTAAAAATAACATTTAAATTGCAAATTTTACAAACTTAAAATAAAAGTGAAAATACAATACCAAATATTTATGAAAAAAAAATATTAAAGATATAAATAAAAAAAACAAACATATTACTTAATAAAAGCACAGAAACATTTTATTTAATTAATACATAGGTTATTGTCCAAATTTATTCCAAATATTTTCAGTCAACTCCTTTGCTAAAAATCGTACCCATTCACGGCCTGCCACGTCACACAAGAACAAGCCCAAAATCAGTTCTACCTCAAGACCCAACAACATGTTCTTCGGCCACTGTTCACAATATTATCCAATTAAAAAAGTACAAGAACACCCAAGGTGTTGGGCTATTGCAGATGGCCTATGTATTAATTATTTTTGGTCTCACCCCATTAAACTTAAAATACGCACGCGTTAAAATATCCAAGAAGAGGAGGCGGGAGGATCAGTAATATGATGTTCTTTTTTTTTTTGATAAACCCTACAGTAAAATGATGTTCTTTGTCAACACATAAACTTAACATTTCAGACATAATCTCATGTAGTGATGGATCCAGAAACGATTTAACAAGGGATAAAATTAGTTCAAACTTAGGACGTTTGGAGCAAAAAAGACTAAATCTAACCACTTTTTCCAATTTGCTCTTATTACATGGAATCTTTTTTGATGGAGACACTTGCACCCAGACCACAAACCGTACACCTATACTCTTAGTCTCATGCCTGTTCTAATTACCCTATACAGGTCAACTAGTTTCTAGTGTAGTCTCAAAAGGGCTGGTCTTAAGGAGAACAAAGTGAAACCTTGATCTTAAGTTCATTCTTGTGGGGCTTACTTAAAATTTATTTTTGTAAATATTAACATAAAAGTTTTAGAAAAAAAAGAGAGAAAAAGTAACAAAAACATTAATGTGGATTATGATTTTAATCCTTTTGATACCTTGTGAAAACTCTTAACTTTATCAATTGATTTGTAACCTTTGTACGAAAATTTGCATTTTCCTTTATGTTAATTGGTTTCTTAGTAACAATCAATGCTTTATCTGCACATTTGGCCATAACTATAATGATATACGGCCTTCGTCTATGTGGCTATGTACCAGCCCAATTTCAAGCCTCCTCTGTCTGTTCACACGAGCTATCAGATCATCAGCCCTCTGGTTTAATGAATCCATCTCCAACGGACTAAGCTTACATCTCTTGCCCTCTCTCAGCCTCGGTTGATCAATATTCTCTTCCGAAAATCGTTGATATCCTATTTCCACCCTCACATTTTCATGAGACCACAAAGAAGAAGAACGACTTCTTGGTAACTCGCTATCTGGAAGAGAAGATCTTGCTCTAGAAAACCTTGATTCTCCGATGAGGGTGATCACGATGACATTTGTGAGAACGAATAAAACCTTAGGTTTTAAGATGTAATTAACAACTCTAGGGATGGTGAATAAGAAAAAACTATTAGAAAATTGAAGCCAAAGCGGGCAAAAAACTACAATAACGCAGAAAACAACTACGATAAATGACAAGGAAAGGCGGTCGAGGAAATTAAGAACTGGTTTCTTGTAGGTTCTTGGTCCGTTGTTATATTGGGTCTCTTGCATGGCGGTTACGGGATCCATTTATGCTATAAATGAAAAAGGTTTTGGTGAAAATAAGATGGATTATCTTAATGTAGCAGCAAAAGAAACTTAGGGTACTAAAGGATACGAATGTGACTGGACATGGAGTGCCTAGACTCTATTGGAACAATATTTAAGGTGCGTACTTGCATGCAGCACATGTGGTTTTAAGGGTTCTTCATCGTTAAGATTAAACTAATTAATCACAAGCTTGATAGCATTTTATTTTACTTAATTTTACTTTCTTAGTAACCATGTGGGCGTGCAAACACTTTTGAATTATTAACTGTCTTTTTAACTTCTTTTAGTATTTTGTTGTCTTTCACCAAATCCATTTTCGGGTGTTTAATTAAATTGGATGTAGAGGACCAATCCTTAGTTAAAGCTGAATTAAAGCATGTTGAGGACCATATCTTAAGATGGTTTACTTTATTTCGTGCACACGTCGAAAGTAAAAGTGATGTGAATGTCTTTTGCTCCCAAGTCCCAACTACCGAAAGTCTAAAATATATTTAATAAAATAAACAAACAAAAAAAAGACATGACCGCACCTTCCTATGAAATTTCATTCATTTTTTTTTTTTTTTTTTTTTTAACCGAGTGTCCTGGCCCCACCGAGATGGTCCAGACTAGAGACCGAACCCTTACGGCACGGATGTATACCCGAGGGTGGGTTATGGCCAGGTAACGGTTTACGGTCTCGGGCGCCAGAGCAAGTCCGCATGTAAATTCCCTGGTGGCCACTAGTATGTAGCAAGAGGGAATCGAACCCGGGTGTATTGGGATTACCCCCTCAACCACGAAATCTGTCCTATCACTAGCCCACCTTGTAGTGGTTTGAAATTTCATTCATGTTACGAATTCAAATGTATTTTCTCATGATTATCTAGAACAGGTCCGTCTCTACCTCTATGTAAGGTAGACAAATGCCAAATATCCAATATGGTTTCAAAAAAAATTTAAAGAAAAAAAATTCAAAATATATATTTAAAATAATTATTAAGAAGTTTTAATTTTTTTTTAGTTTTGTCATAAGTCTCATAGACGGTATAGATCTAGACTTCTCACATGCAGCTTCCACAAAAAACACAAACCTAAGCAACAAATATAAACGATTCCATGTAAACATAATATGACGTGATAATGCTTTTATCATGTACGATCACATGTGATGTCTAACATGCATGGATACTACGTCATATTATATTTACAACAATAATTATATTAATACGAGAATCATCATTAATTTCATCAAAATTTCCAAACATTCAATTACTGTATAAAATAGCATTGACATGATTTTACGGATTAATTCTTAATTAAATTTGGAGTTAAATTGTTTACACATAATATATACATTAAAAACGAAATTCTTAAATTTGTATCCAATGTTTTTTTATTGCTTTGGTAATTTTGTGAATAGTAAATCCTATTATTTGTTAATTCATATTTTATTTTGGTTAAATAATTTGTTAATTAATATCTTAATGTAAAATATGTATACTTATAGCGACAAGTACTTTTGTAAATAATTACTGAGTAATAACACGAAGTACATAAACAACTAATGTAGTTCGGAAACGACAATAACTTATAGGTGGAACGAAGATTTGATCTTATCTACCAAAGATGTTAAGTGGATAAAGAAAAGAAGAAGAAGGCGTCGTCGACGTACATTTTCCACATCTTGACACAACGTGTCGTATCGTTGCCATGCAATGATGCCACACTACCACTTGATCTTCGTGTCTTGTCTCTCTTCGTTTCATCACCGTTTTTTTTTTCTAAAATCCAATGGAGTTGTATTTATATAACGCTGATCAAAGAGAACGTCCAATGAGAGCCAAATCATTTATGTTTTGATCGACAACAATGGAATTGATAAACGATTTCCTCAACCTAACTGCGCCTTTCTTCACCTTCTTTGGCCTCTGCTTTTTCTTGCCTCCTTTTTATTTCTTCAAGTTCTTGCAGTCTATTTTCTCGACCATTTTCTTGGAAAATCTTTATGGGAAAGTGGTTCTCATCACTGGCGCGTCCTCCGGTATCGGCGAGGTTTGGTCATAATGCCTTTACTTTAAAATTGTAGACCTAATAACCTAATTGATCGTTGGTACGTACTATAGTACTAGGTTTCAAAAAGTTCTTCTTAAATGTTTAATTTCTATCGTAACCTTCAGTACTACACTTATCAGTTTATTTCTCTAACTAATAATAGTAGAGTAAAAACATGAGTGTTTATTTTTCTAACGACTATGAATAAAAAATTTAAACAATATTTCTCAAACATGAAAATGATAATATAAACGACGATATTTTTGTGAAACGAGATAATATATTTATATGTTAGGAAAATTATTGATTTGAGTCTATTTGCGTATATGAATTGTCAGCAATTGGCATATGAGTACGCATGTAGAGGTGCATGCTTGGCCCTGACCGCTCGAAGGAAGAACCGTCTAGAGGAAGTGGCAGAGATTGCTCGTGAACTCGGATCTCCCAATGTTGTCACCGTTCATGCTGATGTCTCCAAACCTGATGACTGTAGACGAATCGTTGATGACACCATCACCCATTTTGGCAGATGTAAGTCACGCCACGGCCTGAACCGACCGTTTTTTGGTTACCATTCACAAATTTGGACTACAAAACATTGAATTTCTTTGGTCTTGCAGTGGATCATCTTGTAAATAATGCTGGGATGACGCAGATTTCAATGTTTGAGAACATTGAAGATATAACAAGGACAAAAGCAGTTTTGGTAATTAAAATAACTAAGCGAACCCTTTCATTTTATTCGTTAGACTCTCTTTAATGAATGATTTGTGATTGATTAGGATACTAACTTCTGGGGATCGGTTTACACAACTCGTGCTGCGCTTCCTTACCTTAGACAAAGCAATGGTAAGATTGTGGCTATGTCGTCCTCTGCAGCGTGGCTAACCGCTCCAAGGATGAGCTTTTACAATGTAAGTCAATATATATACACTTCTTCTACTTACTAAAGTAACCTCTTAGGAGCTAGTAACATGAAAGTACTTGGTGTGCTCATATTCTCGTATTAACATATCAAATTGTTATAATATCTTAATTAGGCAAGCAAAGCAGCTTTGTTGAGCTTCTTTGAGACGATGAGAATTGAGCTTGGTGGCGATGTACACATTACGATTGTCACACCTGGTTATATAGAATCCGAACTCACACAAGGCAAGTACTTCTCTGGTGAAGGCGAGTTAATAGTCAACCAAGACATGAGAGATGTAAGTTAAATCTAATTAACTCCTTAAACAATATAATTAATATTGAGGTCATTGTTGAATCGTGTCTTCTTTTGCACAAAATTAAATAGGTTCAAATAGGACCATTTCCGGTATCATCGGCATCAGGATGTGCCAAGGCGATAGTGAACGGTGTGTGCCGGAAACAAAGATACGTGACAGTACCATCGTGGTTTAAGGTGACATACCTTTGGAAAGTGCTATGTCCTGAGTTGATTGAGTGGGGTTGTCGGTTACTGTACATGACTGGAACTGGTATGTCCGAGGAAAGTGCACTCAACAAGAGGATCATGGACATTCCTGGTGTACGTAGTGCTCTATACCCGGAATCTATCCGAAGGCCAGAAATCAAGTCGGATTAGAGAGATGTTGATGCATAATAAATAGATGAGGTGTATCTTGGACTATGTCCAATAATAAAAGAAATGTTTCAAAATGTAGGTTTGTTTTTGTGTATGGTACTTTTGACTTGTGTATATTAAAATGTGTCTAAGAATAAGGGAGTTGCCTAATAGTGATACTAAACATGTGTGTCGTTGTAGAAGAGAACCGAACCGTACTGAAATGTTTTCAACTGACTTCGAACATTTTGAGTTTTGCAAAAATAAGTAAATTCTCCCATTAATATTTGTATGTTTTGAACTACGGTTAAGTTTTTCCAACAAACTTGTACTAATTGAGTTAGATTCAACACTACCATCTTCCAATATTTGGATGTTGGAGTTGGATGAGTAAAACACGAGGGAAACAAAAAAAAACAAAGGTTGTTTATACATTTCCTAAAACACAAAAAGAAGCTGAACCGAACTAGAAAAACTAGATTGCCATTCATGTTGTATTTCAGATTTTATCACTATTATGCAATTATTAAACAAAACAACTGGTTAATTCCTTTTAGGCTTAGAGATCAGAAGCTCAGGGCAGATAGCACTAAGCCAGAACAGGACACGAACCCAAGACGGCTCTGCCACAAAGGTTTTTCCCCTACATATTCCGTTAACAACCGCTTTGGCGCATACCGCTGCTGACTCGATGGCCACAACTTGTGACCACTCTTGTTTCTGAAAGGAGACCAATTCATCAAAATTCTGACAAACACTGATAAAAGAGGAAACAAACGTTTGTATTATGATGGTATTTTAAAACCTCAGCCAAAAGGTCCGAATTGGTATTTCCGTTTTCGATTAGACCCGGAAACACGATTGTCACACCAACTTCTGGATGAAGCTCGATCCTAAGAGTCTCGTAGAAGTTAATCATAGCTGCTTTGCTTGCCTGATGAATCAAATATTACATTAATTATGTTACATTTAATTTAGAGGAAGAAAAAGAAAAGAAGAACCATTTACAGCATATATGCTCATCCTTGGCACTCCAGACCATCCCGCGGGCGATGCAACCGCTATGATCTTTCCTTTTGTTTTCTTGATATGTGGTATAGCGAAATGTGTTGCGTAAACCGGTCCCCAAAAGTTAGTATTCTGAAAATTATTCACAAGGTAGGAACCAAGTCGGATGTGAAAGTTCACTAAGATTACTCCAATATATAATGCATACACAGATTCGTCTTTCAGATAGTAAAATTTGATTACTATAGAAGATTATGTAAAAGTTCATAGATTGTAGAAAAGATTTTAACTATGAATTAAATCTAAAAATTTATACCACAATGGGAAGAACATCCGAAATTTCTGAATAGTCATCGAAAAATTTGGCCTCTGCAATTCCAGCATTGTTCACCAGGCGATCCACTGATATGAATTTTGTTAGATTTTTATGTTGTTTAAGAAGGTAGCAATATTAGTTATTCGAATAATCGCGACTAACTCACATCTTCCAAACCGAGAGATGGTTTCTTGAACAAAACGTTTACAGTCTTCTATGACTGAGACTGTAACGTCTGGTGAACCAAGCTTCCTGCACCTGTCAGCAACCACCTGGAGACGATCCTCTCTCCGAGCTACTAGAGTCAAGTATGCTCCTCTACGAGCATACTCATACGCGAGGTGCTACACCATTAAATCAATTTCAAAATGCTTTGTTTTTAGTTTACTAATAACAAGATTATGGAAATCAGTAACTTAGTACGAAACTAACCTCACCAATTCCAGAGGAAGATCCGGTGATGATGACCACTTTTCCGTCGACTTTCTCAGACTCTTTGCATCTCCTTATGAACCCGAGGAGCTTGAAGAATATTGAAAATGGCATGAACACTAAAAGAAACGAAACCGTGACAATAGGAAGAAGGATGTTGAGGATCTTGTTGATTAAAGCCATATCCTTACCTTGACTTTGGGATTCTCCTTCACCAGAGGCTATACTACAATTTATAAGCTTTTGTGTTTTCGTCTGTTTAGATGTCACTGTCATAGAATTAGTATTTAAGAATTAAGGGTAAGAGAATCTACAAATCATAATTTGGTATCTTTTGTGTGTTCAATGTTTGTCCTCATCCAACTTATGTTTTCATCAAATATTTTCTCAACTTGTGGAGAATTTATTGGTTTCCAATTTCCAACTCTATTTGTTTGAAACCTCCCTCAACAATAAATAATGTCACTATGCAATAAACCATAACAAACTCACTATATACTGTCAAAATTGCTGTTAATTATATAAGAGATACCCCTGGCAAAATGACAACTCAAGAAAGCCAAAACCACATAGATAGGATCATAGGGGCGTGTAAATTGATGTACTTGAGTAAAAGTGGATTTCAGATTGTCTTTTGGACCGAACCAAAGTGGATTTCAGATTGTCTTTTGGACCGAACCAAGTTAATAGATACAAAATACAAGGAGCCAAGTTCTAAGCACTCTAAAGTCTAATTTCCAATACAATATTCAACAAAGAAGTAATTACTAAGAGCAGCATTTCACAGCACCTTTAAGGTTTGGAAGTTAAAGCTTGTTAGATAGGTCCTCGATTACACCTTTCCCATCCTCTGCATCAAAGTAGAAGAAGTTTTTCAACGGCTCTCCTTTGCCCGATATAACTTTTATCACCTCCTGTACACGCAAATACAACTTTCTTTAAGTCACATAGCTCTGCTCAGTGCTTAATCTATATAATTCACAAAGTCCTAGAGAAGAGAGATAGAGAACCGTACCTGTCCTAGAATCCCTCCAATGATGGCACAAGCCGGTGGGAATTCTGTGTTACCAGATACTAGTCTCTCCAAGAGGCTATCTGGAATATGTTTCTCGCTAACCGACTGTTGCAATATTCGGATTCAAAGTTGAGTGACATAGTCTATTCTTTGTCATTATTATTGTAGAGCTTACAAATAAGAGTTGAAGAAACCTACATTTCCCTCACAGAGTTCCTTTTTGAGTTTCAAAACTCTTGGGAGATCAGACAGCGAACATTCCCCAGGTTTACGCCCTTCAGTTTCCTCAAATAGTTCTATCACTGCAAGAATATCACAAAACCAGATTAGTTACATAGGAAGTAACCAAGCTTTCAATGGTTAGCTGTTGTTAACCAGACCTCTCATTGCAAAGTAGAGCTTTGCTGTTCTCCTTGGAATCGGTTTCCATGGTGCTGAAACTGCCTCCTGGAGAAATAAGACCAGTCAATAGATTAAATTTCTATTATTTCTCATGCGACAGTATGTTACAGGAAAGTAAGAAGTTAAGTTTGTTTGTACCTCAAAACTCGGAAACATTAGTTCACATTCCACTGTTTCATCAAGCTTTTTCTGTGGAGCCAAAATTGGCAAATATATTGCGGGGTTAACACATTATATGCCAACACAAAGATATGCGACAAACAACCGTCAAAAGAGTAAAACGAGATAAGTACCTTTGTGTACTTATAATTCTTCAGGTCGATAAATATTTCGCCACATGAGCCTCTACAATCAACTGTATAGAACGCCACACGTTTTGCTAGGTTCCTACATTTTTCATTAACTGCTTTCTGCATAACAAAGCACATTATTTTAAGTGATCTATCTACATAGAAACAAAACAACTGGAACAACTAAAAAAAAGGAGGTCTCGGTACCTTAGTAGCACGAGAACTGTAGCCGATAACCACAACATCAAACTTCTCAAAAAAATCAACGCCAAATGTTGACAAATCACCTGAGATTGAAGACATAGACTCGACGTTATAACAATCATATGTTTCTACTTTGTTCTCGGAAATAAGAGAGACATAAAGAAATGGGAAGAAACCTTTTTCTATTGAAACATGGACCATAGGGTTAAATTCCTTAAGTGAATCACAACAAATCTCAGCTACGGTTTTGCCTACATAAGCATTTTCATCAGGAAGAATCAAGAAGTTTGCGTTGAATGCTTCCGTTGTAACCAACCTATCATCCAACAGAGTCACACTACCAACTCCTGCCAACACAATGTTCTTGCAAAACTGCAACACCAAATGGAAACCAAGTAAGATGCCTACACTCTACTGCAGCATTACTAATAGATAATCACTAAATAGACTGAAATTGTAAAGTAACAACTACCTCAGCAACAGTCCCCTTGATTCCAGATACCAAAACATGAGATTTACTCAATCTGCAAGCAAACGGAAGCAATTTACTCGAAACCAACCAAGTGAATCAAAGCAGCAAAATCAAATTCTTGCTTGAAGCCATTGAAGTTAGATTCAATGTGAAGTACCTTCTTTGAGCACCAGCGCCCCAAACCCTAATTTGGCGGTCGTATAGAGCAGTTTCTTGCTCGGTGAGCTCTTCTCCGTCCATTCTCTTAGTAAAACCCTAGCCAGCGAGATGGATCAGATCAAACCCGCGAATCGACAACTGGGTTTCAGGTTTTTGTCAACCGGAAAATTGCCACACATGGTTTGGTTTGGTTTGGTCCGGTCTGTTTTCTAAAGATCTAAATATAATTATTAATCGATTTCCTTCTTCTTTCTCGCCAACTTAGTAGTATAATTCAAGAAATTAATCTAATCAAGAGTGTATACAATCTGTAAAAGGTTAATCTTTTTCTCAAGAAGATGGTCGAATGGGTTAATCTTTCGTCGAATATCCGTATGAGCTTAACTTGGTTCGCTTCGAGTGATCGATTCACCTGTTTTTTTTTGACAGCCAAACTCCATTTCATTAGTATAACAGGTATTTATATCTTTTAGGATGAACCAATGCGAACCCGATACGCTTATATGGGAAACAAAAGATAAGTCAGTTCATGTTCTATCTAAACAATCTATGCAGACATTGTTACAAAGAAACTTAAGACGACTAATACAAAATGATGAAAAATATGGATAAAAAAACCATAAAAAAAAGCGATATTCACTACGAATATAGGTTCAGGCCCGGCCTTTCACCAATTTTTATGAAATATTTGTATTGGGTCTCATATTTTTGGAAATTTTTTTTAGGCCCAAAATTAACAAAAAAAAACCCTCAAAATCTCATCATTAAAAAAATGTCCAAAAGTTTACAAAAATTAATAAATAAAAATTATTAATGTCCTATAATTAGCAAAAAAATAAAAAAAAATAATAGTTTTTATTTTCTTAGAAGATCCTAATTTGTTTTTATCGTACTTGGCCCCGAATTTTACAATATCCGCACTGCATAGGTCCCTCAATTTAGTGGTGGAGTAACCGCTGACATGTTGCCAGCCACCCTAAAATGCAAACGAAAGCTTTCGTGTAGTTTTAAACATTCAAACTTGCGCTTGTACTCAATTCACTTATTCTTTTCTGGCTAATAGTACATTATAACCAAATGTATCCAACGTGAACTAATTCAATTGTTTAAACGATCCAAAAATGCAACATAAACCATAGAATTTAAATAAGGATACACACACTAAATAGTAAAATTATGGAGATTTATTTTACAACCTTACCATTTTTACCAACAAAAAAAATGACTTCAGAAAATTTCATCCACCAAATTCAACATAAACCTTAGTATTTAAACAAGTGAAAAGAATGGGGATGTGCCTTTAGTCAAGTGGTTAAGTCCACTTGACTCCGCCTTCTCCACCGGAGTTCGACTCCAATAAATCGCGTTACCCTGCGTAGTAGGGATTAGCTATGGATCGGACCTTGTCGATCCAAAATGTCAAAAAAAAAAAAAAAAAAAAAAGTGAAAAGAATGTTTAAGTTGGAAATCGATGGTGATTTTTTATTAAAAAAAAATTAAGACATGGAAGACTTTTAATACGATTTTATTTTCTTTCCCTGATAATTGACGTTTGAGCTTTGTGACCCGTGAATGAAAGTCAAAGAAATAACGCGTATCGGAGAAAGATCGAAGAAAAAAACAGAAGAAGATGTTGTGTAATGCGAAGCACAACATTCACATGCTATGTTTTTTTTGCCGTAAGCATCCTATACCTCTTTCTATAGTATCACTTTCCAATTTATTGTCTACTTTCATCATCATCAAAGCATTTTTATACCATAGTAAAAAAAAAAAACACAATCATATTTGAGAACTAATTTTATTTTCGATAAGAATCAGTAAAAGATTCAAGATTTTTGAGTATTTGAAAATTTCAAAACTTCATTCATAAATAATCGGATGTTCAGAGTTCAGATTTGATGAATGGCAGAGAAAAAAAAAATAAACAAAGAAAAGTAAACAAAAAAGTTAGAAAAAGAACAAACAACAACAGCTGTCACTTTCCTCCATTTTTTCTTCTCTCTCTCTTACTTACTCAAAGTTTTTTAAAAATGATATCAATAAACCCTAAATCAGGAAAGCAAAGTTACAATTAAAGCAAGTAAATCATTTCTTAACTTAGTAATAGCAATTATCATCACTTTCTCTCTCTCCTCTTTCTCTTATTTGCATTATTGAAGTAGCAGCCACACTTGTTGTCTCCACTTTCTCTTGCTAAACCCCATCATCATCTTCTCTTTTTTTTTTTTTTTCTTTTTTCACTTGTCTCATTTTTTTATCTTTCTCTTTTGGAGTTTCTTCTTCTTCTACTGACTCTACTACTGTTAGGACTTAGGTGTGGATGGATTTGGTAAGATTTCTCAACCTTCAAACACCAAACTTTTCTTATTCTATAGTTTTTTTATTTTATTTTATGTAATAACATGTTTATATCTTTCTTTAATCTTTCCCTTTTTTATTGAATTTTTTAAATTCTTGCTTGGAATTGAGTAGACAGAAAAAAAAGTTTTTTTTTTTTGCTTTCTTTCCCATTTTGTGGGATCTGTTCTAGTTTCTACATTTCTGCACTTCCCATTTCGTTTTTTCAGTACAATTTGTTTGCCTTTTTTGGGGGTTTTTGTTTGTTTTGTTTTAATAATCAAATAATTGTGTTAGAACTTCAACTACAATTTCAGTGTACTCTTTAAAATTGTGTTTTTGCTTTTTGCTTCCCTGCTTTTTTCTTCATATGTGTTGAAATTGAGTTAAAGATTGATGGGTTTTGTGTTTACCAGTTGTTTTTGCTGTTTAATTTTTCTGAAACTTAGTGTAAACAATATCAAAAAGGATAAATCTTGAGATTGTTGGATTGTGTTTCTTTTTATTTATAGTGAGAGAAGAAGACCAAGGAGAAGAAAAACAAAATCTTTGAATGGACTGGAATTTCAAACTTAGCTCTGGTTATTTATCTGGATTCGATCAAGAACCGGATTTATCACCAATGGATGGTTCGATCTCGTTTGGTGGGTCTTCACAGTCAAAAGGGGAATTTTCATTTGATCTGAAACTTGGAAGAAACAATGGAAACTCTTCCTCTGTTTTTGGTGATACAGAGCAAGTGATAAGTCTAAGTAAGTGGAAAGAGAGTTCTTTGGCTAAACCAGAGAGTTCAAGAAGCTCGAGTTCAAAGAGAACAAGAGGGAATGGTGTTGGAACCAACCAGATGCCGATTTGTTTAGTTGATGGATGTAATTCTGATTTTAGTAATTGTAGAGAGTATCATAAGAGACATAAGGTTTGTGATGTTCATTCAAAAACTCCTGTGGTTACTATTAATGGTCATAAGCAGAGGTTTTGTCAACAATGCAGCAGGTAATTGATCGAAAACTCGCTTTTTCGGAGATTATGTTGTGTTAATGGTTAAGCTTCTTGTTTCTGTGTAAATGACAATGTTAACATTTGTGCATAATAATTAGGTTTCATGCTTTGGAAGAGTTTGATGAAGGGAAGAGAAGTTGTAGAAAACGTCTTGATGGACATAATCGAAGAAGGCGGAAGCCGCAGCCTGAACATATCGGTCGTCCTGCGAACTTCTTTACGGGTTTTCAAGGTTTTTGCTTTATGAAAACTTGGTTTCTTGAATCCAATAGACCTGTTCGTGTTGATGAAGAAGCATTGTTTTATATTTTCAGGTAGCAAATTGCTAGAGTTTTCGGGCGGTTCACATGTGTTTCCAACTACATCTGTGTTGAACCCGAGCTGGGGAAATAGTCTTGTAAGCGTTGCTGTGGCCGCCAATGGTTCGAGTTACGGGCAGAACCAGAGCTATGTTGGTTCTTCTCCTGCTAAGACAGGGATAATGTTTCCAATCTCTTCTTCTCCAAACAGTAGCAGAGGCATAGGGAAACAATTCGCTTTCTTGCAAGAAGAAGAAAGCTCGAGAACAGCATCGTTGTGTGAGAGAATGACGAGTTGCATCCATGACTCTGATTGTGCTCTCTCTCTTCTGTCATCCTCCTCGTCGTCAGTCCCTCATCTGCTTCAGCCACCACTTTCTTTGTCCCAAGAAGCAGTTGAGACAGTTTTTTACGGGTCGGCATTGTTTGAGAATGCGAGTGCAGTCTCTGATGGATCGGTTATATCCAGTAATGAGGCTGTCGCTCTTCCGCAGACGTTCCCGTTTCATTGGGAGTAGTATAAGAAGAAGAAGTAGGTAGATAGAATCACAAAGATCTATTTGTGTCTCTTCTCTTCTCCCTCAATTTTCTATGTTCCTATATCATCATTGTTCTTGTTAAATGTTGAATTGTGGGTTTTTTTATTGACATTTGATTAGTTGATGTGTAGGTTGTGTTGGTCTTGTAGTACCCCAATTAGCAGTAAGTTAACAGTTGAGAGTAGATTACTATTTATGTACACATCTTATTCCAATTATAGAATCTTAGAAGAGCCACTCTTATGCTTTTGGGTTATGCATTTTAAAACATTTTCGAATCTATATGAACTTTGTTAGTTTTAAAATATGGCAACGATTTGAATATGGATTTCTTAACTTGTTTACTTAAACGATTTGTTTTGTTTTCCTGTTTGTTGTTTTACTAGAGAGATTGAAACAAAGCTGGTACGCAATTAGTTATTGGCCGATATTCGTAGTTTCTTATAGTCAAAACAGAACAAGAGCATATAAGAATCATAGGTGTGTGATGATCTTTTATGTCATGCTTGTAATCCTAAACCTTTGGTTTTGTTGAGCTCTCGATGATGTTGCAAACTTAAGGTAGTGGAATTCTAGATTTCGTTCTGGCCGAGACATAAGATCAATCATACCGGTTGGTCTAAAGTCGTAAACTTTGTGATTCACCATCTTCTTCTTTAGTCTGTTTTCATCTCTGTTCTTGATCAGAAGTCAGAACATATTCGGTTGATTGTTTTTTCGAATCCGAATGGTTTAATTGTGAGTATAGAGTATTAAGCTTCTAATGTGGTTAAAGGTTCATGCAAGATTTGCAACAAGTGATATCAGAGCCTCATGGTGTAGTATCAACGACCGATACTCAGGAGTGGAGTCGATCTTTTTGACGGAAAAGGCGATTTCTCGTTATGGAAGACACAAATGTGGTTCATAGTGGCATATTTTTATCAAAACATTCAATGAAAAGAAACGCATTTTCTTGATTTGAGTTTGTTAACTACCACTACAACACAACACCTATTATATTCACATCATTAGACCAAAGAAATCTTACAAACAATTGACCCTGTAGAGCATCCTCATCCCTAAACCCATAAAGGGTGTCTTTATGGGTTTAGGGATGAGGATGGTCAACACATATTATAAGGTCTCAAACAGAAACTTCATGTGTCGATCTCAAGAACGGCCGGCCCTGGCTATATTACTGGTGTTGGTCAAATGAAGTAATATTGCATGGAAATTTGAAACAAAATATTTTTTGGGCTAAAACATACTTTAATATAAAACAAATAGAATTGAAATGGCTGCTAAGATGTTCCAAGAGATTCATTATAGATGCCTATGTTTGTTGGCCTTTCTTTTCCGGCTAAAATTATAATAACATATGAAAATATTATATACACTAACTCACCAATCTCGTAAAAAAATGTATAACTGGTCAACAACTCTCCATTTCGTCATTATACTGAAAATTTCGAAACAAGTTTTTATGCATCATATCGTAAGTTTTTGTTCTTCTTTTGAGTGAATTACATTAGATATATCATTAAAATAGCATAATAATTACGTGAAAAAGGAAAACATGGTAAAACTGATAATATAGAAAAGGTAAAAGCATATATATATAGGAAGAAAAAGCTTTACGTAGAATTAAGTGCCCGGAAAGTGGATGACGACGGTGAAGACAGTGACAAGGCCGAAGTAAAGGAAGGCGTGGAGAAGGATTGAGTATCCGCTGGTTTCCATCTTCCCGAAGTCTACAAAGTTGTTGTTTCCCGGAACCTGAAACAACAATCCAGGGCTCAGCACTACAAACAACACCGTCGCCACCACCACCGCAACCCACTCTGACATTTTCCTATTCTTCTTCTTTTTTATCCCAACGAGAGAGAGATAGAGAAGTTATCTTAATTAAGAAAGAGAGGAGAAAGTTATATCACTTGGGTACTTGATATTGAAACCCTTGTGGTATGGTTGGTGAAATGGCATAATACTAGTGACATGGTGTTACACGTCAGAAGTGTCGTGGTCAAACTGTGGACTTTGATGTCTCGAGAGATACGTTAGACGATGGTTGGGTGGTCTCTCTCATTTTGTAATCACTTAATGTCTTAATCATTGGGTCTCGTTGACTAAAATAAGAAGTTCGAAATTTCATTGTGGTAATACAAGTAGATAGGAACGAGATTCAAATTTATCAACGAATATGATATAGGTTTAGGGCCACTCTCATATAATCATATTAACCTCTTAGACTTTAACCAAAAAAAAGAAAGTGTTCTCCTACTTGTACTCTTTAAAGTTTCAATGTATCGTGTGGGTTACTTGAGGCTTTGTTCACGTATGTATGATCCCCATTGCCACCATGAAATAATACGAAACCAAGTATATCAACACAAACAACAACGCCGCCAACCACTCCCCAGATGTATTCGACCTGCAATTTCATTATAGAAAAACCACAGTTTTAGGTTATGGAGACCCTGTTCTTAAAATGGAAAGATAATAGGAGAAACCGTAAATGTACATACGTTTTCCACCCTTTTGTTTGATCACGGTTAGCCTTGCCCTTGAGTCAAAAGATACTGACACTAAGCACCTGCGAAACCAAACCCAAAGTAACAATTTTGAATGATTTCATGTTTTCTTCAGAATTCGTATCTATTTGTTTGTTTGGATTCGTTAAAGCGGTAGTTATACGGTAAAGGATTGAGCCTTAATGAGGAGATTTTAACCTTGAATCAGGGGAGAAAGTCAGTGCGGTGACTAAACCGAGATGAGCTTTCTTGACGACTTGGTTAGTTTGCATCTTTGTCGAATCAATTATTAAAAGATCTCCTTCGAGTGTTCCTCTGCATTAAGAAAAAAGACATGAAAACCAAAAATATAGTATTTCTGTTTGGCCACAAAAGTGAGAAGAAAGATAAAACTTACATTGCAAGAAGCTTCCCATCAGCTGAGACATTAAAGGCAGATATAGAGTTGTTTCTTTTAATAAGCTTTGAACTTCTTCTTCTCCAGGATGTTGTATCCCATGTTATAATACTCCCACCATGTTCTACACAAAACGACGAATCAACTCTCTATCGTTGACTGAGACAAAAAGGGCTATGTTCTTGCACTGTGAAAATATATATAAAAGTTTACCAGTGTTTGCAGCAACGTAAAGAACTTCATTGCCTGAACTGTCTACAGAGAATCTACACGAGGCAAACATCTCATCCTGCATTTCACAAACTCATCAGATCCAATACAACAATAATGTATACTACTAAGAGCCAAAACCCAACTGACCTTCTCTTTTGATAAACTGGCAATAGCAGCAGAAGCATTCACATCCCAAACCCGACAAAGTGGAGCTCCAAGAGATACAAGAAACTTACCACTTTCACTGCAAACGGAAAAACATCACTATCAAGAACTATATTCCCAATCATTTCTTCAAAGATGATCCCTTTCTCACCTGAAAGTTAAGCTTTTAACTGATGCATGTGCCTGAGACTCATTAAGTAATACTTTCATGCTTGGCCATTCAAAAACCCTCAAAGTCCCATCCTGCACTGCATCAAAACAAAACACATAAGAACCACCACCACCACCACCAAAGTTTCTTTCTTTCTCTGTTACTTAGAAGACACAACTGTTGTCCACAGTGGCGGATCTAGAAAAATTGTTTGATGGTGTCAAAATAAGTTTGTTCAAAAAAATATACAACCCGATAAAAACTGTAGTTATATATAACATCCAATGAAAATTCATTACAATGCCGATATATCAAAGACCTTCATCTTAAAGATGTATCCTACGCTCACTCATCTTTTGGAAACGTTCGATCACTTTCTCATTTGTCACAGATTCAAGAACCTGTTTTTCGATGTAACACACAAGACAATCACTTAAAAACTGATCACCAATACGATTTCGCGACGTTGTCTTCACAATGTTCATTGCTGAGAAGCATCTCAACGGTTGAAGTTGCGACGGGTAAAATTAAAGATAGCTTCATAAGTCGATAAATCAAAGGATGTGAAAGATGTTTCCTTGTCTCCACCATGACCATAGCAAGGTCTCCAAGACTCTTCAGATTAGTAAATCTATCATCGTGTTGCGCATTATCAAGATATATGTCCAATTGATGATCAAGAGATTTTCGCTCCACGAAACTAAAGTCATCCGGATAAAACGCAGCCAATCTCACCAACTTTGATTTGTCAAATTCACTAAATGAATTAATCGGACTTAAGGACGCCGTGCAAACAAGTAATTCAGAATTTATCTCGTTAAAACGGTCATTAAACTCTTGAAGCTCCATATCTAGAACGGTGTAGAAACAGTTTACCTTATAATGATGCAAGTTGCTTATATTGGTCCTTTTTCTTGGCATTCTTGAATCCACAAAGTCTCCCGCCATATTGAGCATTTCGGTGTTATTTTCTTCACTAAAGGAACTAACTTTCTCCATAAAAGAATCCCACCCATCTTCTCTAAGACTTTGCAACAATCGTTTAGTGGACTTCACCAATGACATGGCATTCAAAATATCTTGATCCCTTCGTTGGAGAGCCATTGATAAGTTTTCAGTGAGTCCAAGAAGAAGTAGCATCAACTGAAGATAGAAGACAAAATCAAACGTGTGAAAATATTTGAGGAGGCCATATGCTTGACTTCTTTTGGTAGTCTCACTGCCTTCATCTTGTACATACTTGAGAACCTCAATGATGGAAGAAAACAACTCAACAAGTCGAAGTAGTGTTTTATAATGTGATCCCCAACGAGTAATTCCGGGTCTTGAAAGTGAAAGCTCTTGATTCTGTCCCGTTCCACTTTTAATTTCACCATTACTAATTCCTTCTTCTACTTTCTTTCTATGAATTTCTCGAAGCTTGTCTTTTCTCTTACATGAAGCTCCAACAACATTCATCAAAACTGAAATCATATCAAAAAAGTTTCCAACTTCAATATGTTTTTTTGCAATTGCCACAACAACTAATTGAAGTTGATGAGCAAAACAATGAACATAATGTGCAGAGCTACATTCTTTTGAAACCAATGATCTCAATCCATTGAATTCTCCTTTCATATTGCTAGCTCCATCATATCCCTGCCCTCTCACTTTTTTCATACTCAATCCATATTTTGAAAACATAGAATCAATAGCATGTTTCAGAGATATCGCAGAAGTATCTTTCACATGAGCAACACCAACAAATCTTTCTTTGATGATCCCATATCTATCAACAAAACGCAAAACCACAGCCATTTGCTCTTTATCGGAAACGTCCGCAGATTCGTCCACAAGCAAACCAAAGACATCGTTATCAATTTCTTGAATAACAGATTTAATCACTTCTTCAGAAAAGCAATTGACAATATCCTTTTGAATGGGAGGAGACACCATTTGGTTGTTCTTAGGAGCATTATTCAGCACAACTTTTTCTATAGCCTCATTTTGCCGAGCAGTATATCTCACAAGCTCTAAGAAGTTTCCTTTATTTGCTGAATCTTCTGTTTCATCATGACCACGAAAAGGCAATCCTTGGTGTAGCAAGAACCTTGAAGTGTCAATGGAAGCATTCAACCTAATACGATACTCATTTTTGACAATATCAGCTTGCTTATGTAGAGAATGTATGATAGACTGACCTTGTCTCATCAAGTAGTCACACTTGTTTTTGGCATTATTATGTAAACTTCCCACGCCACCAACGTGAGTAGCCAACCTCTGTGCCTTATTCCAACCACAAAAACCCTCTGTTACAAACGCTTCATTACCACTTCGTTTTGCAACGTGATCTCTGAATAAATAACATCACAAACAAAATGCTTCATCTTTCTCTATACTATACTCTAACCAATCACCATATTTATCAAACCATTGTGGATTAAACCGCCTCTGAACATCTCCTATCTTTCTTTGTGGAAAAATATGTCCACGAGGTTGACAAGGTCCTCTAGTCAAATATATGCGCCTTACATCATCTCTTTGATTAGGATGATAGTCCAATATTCTTTTTCGATGAGCCGGATCACTTGGCAAGTCATCTAAATTATCATTAGGCGGTGGAGATTTTCTTTTTAAGAACCGATCGATTGTTTTCGAACTCATCTAACTCACCTAAAGAAAAAGAAAACAATTTGATTTATTAAGATATGTAAGAAAAAAAAACAGAATGTAAAGTGTAAACAAGAATAATGGACACAACACACATACTTTTCTTTTGAGTTTTGAATAATTTTTAACAATTTTCATATATACACAAATACATGATATGAACTCCGTATAAAGATGTTAGAATCTAAAATCTCCAAGACATAACAGATAATTAGACTTGTCTTTTAATTTGACAGAAAGTGAAACACAATTACACAAGCACACAACAACTAAGACTAAGAGTTTTAACTCTTCACTTATATCTCCTTACATTACATAACTAATTAACTACTTGTCCAGCTGCCCTTAAGACAAGACACATGAGTTTTTAAGTCTACAAGAAAAAGTGAAAAACTGAACAAAACTAAATCGATAGCAATTGGCAACAAATCATACTATAAGCTAAGTGATTGTCAAAAAGCAAATATCAAACAATTTTAATGTACGAAAGACTGAAAATTTGTTACTTAAAATTGAAATTTGACAACAACAGTTTCTTCCAGAAGCAAGAAAGAAGGTTAAGAATCTTAAGATGAAGACGTCGTGAAGTGATTTTTTTTTAGAAAACCAAACGTCAATTAAAGGACATATTCATTATTGGGTTATTTTATTGCTTCATATTACAACTGGGTTTGATTAAAGTTAATGGACTCTATGATTTGAATAAATGGGCTTCATGTTTGCTTTTATTATTTGAATTGGGTCAAAACTGAATTGGGTATTTGGATTGAATATTTATACATATAAATATATAATGGGTTCAAATTTACAAATGAATTGGGTTCTAAAAAATTGGTTGGGTTCAAGTTTCATAATAAAACTGATATATATTAAAATTTTAATATAATTAAAACGTTTTTACAAATTTTAATGGTGTCAAATGCATCCACTAACTTCAACGTGCCTCCGCCAATGGTTGTCCAACATCTTTTAACTCTTTAATCACTTTCTCTGACTCTTCCTCATTATCAACCTCTGTAATGTGATCCCAATCAAACAGTCTGCAACTGTTAGGCAATGCGCAAATAAGACCATCTTGACGAGGATGAAGAGTCATACGATAAGGTAGATCAGTGCAACCACAAGCCTACCAATCTGTGAAAAACATTGAGAATGTTCAGAGAAATGTGAATTATGATTCACACAAGAGAAGAAAAGAAGGAACTTACGGGTTGTTCAGAGAGAGAATTGGTGTGGAGATCAACACGAAAGATTAAGGAGGGGTTATTGGTTCATGGATTTATAAAGAATTAGAAATCCAAACAAAAATCATTTGTTATTCAATCATTGAATTTAAAATCTTAATTAAAATCATGTGTTATTGGTTCTATGATTTATAAATACTAATTAAAATCCTATGTTATTCGTTTAGTCATTTGTTTTTGGATTTGAGAATCCAAATTATGTTTTAAATGGATTTGAATGGAATTAAAAGAGAAAAATAGAAGGATTCAAATCCATGGGTAAACACATGTTATTTCAAAATCCATATATCTTGATTTCATAATTAATAGAGATTTTCAAATTCTATATGGATTTACAAATTAATAAACCAATAACACCCCCTAAGATAACATTAGGGATTCCACTTCGTCCTTCCCCGCCTCCGCCGGATAAAACGATGTACGATGACGACGACGAGGAGAGATCATCATCATCATCCTGATCCTTAGTGATTTTAGATTTGACAGAATCCAGTCGACGGCGTAAATTGGTATACCGTAAGTCTGCAGATTTGACGGTGGTTGTTGATTACTCGCCATTCTCTCGACGGAGCTCAATGCCGGAGCCAAGTGTAACCTTGATAACGACAAATAAGATGGGCCTCAATCACTCAACATAACAATTGAATACAAGCCCAATAAAGCCCAGTCAAACAATGACAGCGTCGACGTTCCCGCGTGATACTCCCAGCAAATGCCAAGGGCAAATAGGTAATTCGTCGTTAACAGATAGATTGGCAAAATGAAGAAAAGTCCCACCACGGATTTTTTAATATTTAAAAAAAAAACAATTTTGGTCTTTTTTTTTTCTTTTAATTATTCAATTAATTATTATCTCCTCTGGCTCTTCTTGCTTTCCCTCTCCTTTCGTTTTTCTATTCCAAAATTTCTTTTGATTTGATTCCCAAAAAAAAAATCCAATTCCTTAGAACTACATTATCTATCGTCTCCCATAAATAGGCGATTCGAAATTGTCGATCATTATTTCAAAGTGAGAATTCAAAATTTCCATCACAATTTTTTCCGAAGAGAAAGATTATTTGGTAAGTTTCTAATTCGAAATTGCGTCCTTGTTTTTCTAGAATAAATTTGTTTCAAAAGAAAATTTCCAAAATCTGATGATTGTTTTAAGTTTTGCAGAATTTGACGGAGGAGATCGGAAAAGTTGAAAATGGCTAACCAAGGTGGTCCGTCGAGAAAAAGTCTCTCGTTCTCTGGTCATTCATTTCAAGGAAGGAAAAAAGCTTCAGAAAACGAAGGTGGTGGTGGTGGTGGCTCTGACCTGCTCCCACGGCGATCTCTCACATCTTCTCGTTCTTCCATGTAAATCACCCCAATCTCTTCCAATTATTCAATTTTTTTTTGTAGTTGAGTCTGTTTTAGATACATGTTTGTAATTAATAATCTTCACTATACCTAATTCCATGGCTTTGATTTGAACGTATAGGCTACTTGGTTTGTTGGTTGTTTAAGCTGTGCTCGTGCGATGAGGAAACTAATTGTGACTGATTCTTGTTGATGTAGAAGTTTGAGTGGGGAAAGGAGTGGGGAGAGAACGGTAAAGAGACTAAGGTTGTGTAAGGCTCTTACTGTACCCGATAGCACAACTTTATTTGAAGCTTGTCGAAGAATGGCTGCACGTCGTGTTGATGCGCTATTGCTGACTGATTCTAATGCATTACTCTGTGGGATCCTTACAGATAGGGTAAATATTTTCATGACCAGGATTTAATTGGAAATTGTTTTTTCGCTTATCTATTTCTCTCTTTTGGTTTTAAGGATATAGCAACAAAAGTGATTGCTAAACAACTTAACCTCGAAGAAACACCTGTATCTAAAGTTATGACCAAGAACCCTGTTTTTGTATTGTCTGATACTATTGCTGTGGAAGCTCTTCAAAAGATGGTGCAAGGTTTGTAATGCTTAGGAAACATTTTTGTCTCTTGTTCTTTCTTAAATTCTTTGTTTTCATGGTACTTGAACTGAGACAAGTGGATATGCAGGCAAATTTAGACATTTGCCGGTGGTGGAGAATGGAGAAGTTATTGCGCTTCTCGATATTGCAAAGTGTTTGTATGATGCAATTGCCCGCATGGAAAGATCAGTTGAGAAGGGTAAGGCTATTGCTGCAGCTGTTGAAGGCGTTGAAAAGAATTGGGGAACATCTATTGCTGGTATGTTAAAAATATGGAATTAAGTATCTCAATTTGATTCCTTCACAACTCTAGAACAACTTTCAATTGTCTTCTTGCATGACGTTTTTGTTGGATATAGGACCAAACACTTTTATGGAGACACTTAGAGAACGAATATTCAAGCCTTCACTTTCAACTATAATTCCAGAGAATACAAAGTAGGTAATATCTCCTCTATATTTATTATCATTTATAAAAATCACTTTGATCTTATACTTGTTTTAATAAGAGCAATGCGAAGCTTAACGAGTAAATTTGGAATGAAAACGTATAGGGTTTTAAAGGTTGGATTGGATGAGACAGTGTTAGGAGTAACCATGAAGATGGTCGAATATCAGTCTAGTGCAGCCATGGTGATGGTTGAGAACAAATTAGTAGGGATTTTGACGTAAGTGTTACATTTGGCCTCATGTCTCCGTTTTCGTATATGTTTGGAGAATAACATGTTCTGCTACTTGGTTTTGAAAATTTTGTCTCTACCACATCATGTTTTATACTTTTCTTTTGGAGCTTTGATCATAAACTGTGATTCTTGTTAGCTCAAAGGACATCTTGATGCGGGTGATATCCCAAAACCTTCCTCAAGAGACAACTACTGTGGAGAAGGTAATATTTTCCTTAAGTCAGGTTTTCGGTAATATTTATATCAATACTCATTTCCTGTCTTTGTTGTTTCTTTTCAATTATTCTATAGGTTATGACAAAGAACCCAGAGTCTGCAACAGTTGATATGGCAATTGTTGATGCCTTGCATATCATGCATAATGGAAAATTTCTGCATCTTCCTGTATTAGATAAAGGTAACAAAATGTCTTCAAAACTTGCTTTGAGCAATAAAGTATGAAACATTGTTATTTCATCACTTGTCTATTGTTGATGATTTCATACAGATGGAGATGTTGTCGCTGTGATTGATGTGATCCACATAACTCATGCTGCTGTTACTACGGTACACTTTTTTTTTCTTTATTATTCTCTTCTTGTTGAAGTCGTAAACATGAGACAAGATCGATAAACAATCCGGGAGAAGAAAGAACATGATATATTAGTTGCCATTTCTTGTTTTGCTATAAGCTCTTATTTCCTTTTGACAAGGCCGGAAGTACGGCTGGAATAAATAATGAGACAGCAAACTCAATGATGCAAAAGTTTTGGGATTCTGCGATGGCGTTATCGCCTACTGAAGATATAGATGAAACGAGGAGGTTTCTACTCATTTTCCTTTGAACCATTTAGTTTTGACAATAAGCTAGTTTCTTAAAGTGTGTCATATGATTTTGCAGTGAAGAAGAATCGATGAAATTATCTTCGGAGATAGAAGGAACAAAATCATTCTCATATCCAAACACATTTGCTTTCAAACTCCAAGATAAAAAGGGACGAATGCATAGATTTATGTGTGGTACGTTAAATCATAACTCTTGAAAAACAGGACACTTTTTATGCCAATGCGGCTGCAGAGTCATTAACCTTTTGTTTTTACTTTCCAATTACAGAAACACAGAGTTTGACAACTCTGATAACAGCAATCCTACAAAGAATGGGGGATGATATTGAGCCTGATAACTTGCCTCAGATAATGGTACATATTTATTCGAAAACTTCTTAAACGAGAAACGAAAAGTTCTGCTTCTTTTCTTGACATATTTTGTGATGTGTAGTACGAAGATGAAGACAATGACAAAGTCGTTTTAGCATCAGATAACGATCTTGGAGCTGCCGTAGAACACGCAAAATCAATAGGCTGGAAGGTAATAAACTGTACATCCATTCTTTTTGTCAATTGATGCAAGAACTAGGATGACATGATACCTTTGATTCGTGTTTCGGTTCGAGTTCTTTTTTGGTTTTAGATCATTAGTATCTGAAGTAAACATTTTTAGCATGGCTCGGTTTGGTATTCAATCAGACATATCCCTTATTCAAAGACAGTCTCGCTTCGGGGTTTTTCCTTTTTCAGTTTGGTTAATGCGGATTTTGGGCTAAAGAAGAATATATTTTTGTTGAGGATTCCAAATGGTGCAGGGTTTAAAATTGCATTTGGACTACACAGAGGAAAGAGGACACAGGAGAGGTCTAAGCTCAGAGGATATGGACTACGACCAGTCAAACTCATGGGCAGCCGCTTACAAAACGGTTGCAGCCGGGGCTGCTCTTGCTGCTGGACTTGGAGTTTTGGTGTACCTTAAGCGCCACTCAAACTAACAGATTCATTTTGGGGAGATACAAAAGTGAATGCTTTTGCAAACCAATTTTTAAAACCTAAGCTTGCGAAGTATACCTCTTCATTTATTCGTGTTTGTTGTTTTCTTTTTCTTGTTGCTCATCATCATGCTTATTTGTTTTTTTAACCTTACACATGAATTGTACATATAAATAAGTAAACATTTATTTGTATTGACGGTGTTGTCCACACTTTTCTTTGAAACTGAAAATTATAAAAGTAAGTAACCATAAATAAGTAACTTGTTCTGACTCATACTCTGTAAAAGCTGATAATATCGGCCCAACATTGTTCTTCATCGTCTCTGGATAATCGCCAAACACCAGCCGATGTAAATTCCTTTCGGAAATCAAAACAAGAAATTCAGCGATCAAGATATAATAGATGCTTCAACGTAACATTGGAGTCTTTAGACTTACCAACCAATAAGAAAATCTACGGATAATTCTTTTCAGTGGGAAACTACTTTTGGACTCATTATTTCTTTAAAGTTCTTGGAGCGTCCTATACTTTTCCATCGTGGAAAAATGAATAACGTAAGCAAAATAAACTTAGTGGATAAACCTTGACTGTGTATTTTTCGTTTCCATATGAATTCATGGTAAGTTTTTGTGTTGAACAGGTGCCTCACAAAACATTCTTCCTAACATATGTTGGCTTCCTCTTTTACCACGTTACATCGAATATTACTCTTCGAAGGCTACGGCATTCCATTGCTGATATACCAGATTCTCTCAAATGGTGTTTTGAGGCTGCATGGATACTGGTGCTTTCTTATTTCATTGCATACTTGTAGACTATTGCTATTACAAATGTATGTTGTCATGTCGTCATATTTCTTTGTTAGAAGTACCCTAGACCGCACCTTACTTCGTGCTTTATCAAATAGTATAAATTCCTCTTATAGTATGCTTAAATGCTTTGTTGGCAAATAGCCCAATTGATAAAGATTCTTGTGCAAAGCGTAGAAATCGCCGAATCAAGTGACATTTGGGAAATGAGTATATAAATGATCTGGTCCCTTGCTTGAGTGTACCGGTCTATGTTTAGAAATCTCTTAGTTATTCAGAAAAAAAAAACGCTTTGATTAAATGTTTAATTGATTGATAAAAAATGAGACAAATATTTACAAAGGTAATAAATGGACTTCTACAGTTCTACTACATGAGAAAAGGAAAAAACAGAGCTAATGACAAGAAATTGCAGATTAAAGAACTTGACAAAAAAGGATCAGTTTTGACAAAAAAAACGCTTTGTTTATCTACTTAATCATTCTAGAATCATGTTTGGAGACTAAAGACACAATAGTAGATAAACAAAGCGTTTTTTTGTTCTACAGTTTATGATCCATATAAAAACATGTGCAATGGTAGTTTCTCAACATAGTCTCTCACCTACAAAAGAATTAATAAGATAAAAAATAATATTATTTAATTAGATGAGTCTCTCAAAAAAGGTGAGAGATTCTCTCACTAATTAAAAAATATTTTTATTATCTTATTATTATTTTTGTAGGTGAGAGATTTTAGTGAGAGACTCTCCATTGTACATGTTCTTATATGGATCATAAACTGTA